TCCTAATTCTGCACACCAAAGGGCAGGATTCCAGGAAAGCAAAGGTGGTGCTCAAAGACCATGATGCTCGGAAAACAAATTTTGCGACCATGGCTCCAAGGCTGCTGTAGAGCGGGTGGAAGTTAAATCTTAGAATATTATTTCTCTAGAAATAATTTTAAAAAAATTAAAACTGACTGCAAATGATAACAATAGCATGTCTATTATATTATTTCAAAAAAAATCCTTGGAGGTATATATCCCTCCAAGGAGTACAAACTTCAGCCTCCTGGCTCTCACTATTGGCATGTATTTAAGCAAGTTATTTAAACCTCTTCTGTTTCCTCATCCGGAAAATGGACATAATCAATAATACCTACTCCATAGGCATTAGTTACATGCAGTAAATGTTAGACATATAAAAATGCTTAGGTAGTATCTTCTAATTAGTAAACACTCAAAAAATGTCGGCAGTTTATTATCATCATTGTTATTACAGAGGCTTCATTCTCTGATCTGCTCAAGCTGCATGACTTCAAATGTAAAGTGCTGCTATCATCAATAAAAATTTTCTTTCCTATCATGGATGATTAAGTTATATTTTCTAAGGTATATTGTTGTTCCTATTTGACATTAGGTAAGCTTCAGAACAAATCACTCTTCACTGCATCACCTGATCCTCACAACAACCCTGACACAGGACTGGGGAGGTTCTACCCACATCACACAGATAAACTTCAGTTTTAGAAGATGTCGAGGGAGTTCAGCGGCCTGCCCAGAGTCACAGAGTTGGGAACGAGCAGCAGCGCGGTTCAAGGCTATTCCGTCTACCTCCTCCTGCAGGGCTCTGCCCAGCACTTCGTCTTTTCCGAATATAACTTCATAATATTTCATTTCAATTAATAAATGTGACCCTAAATCATTTCACAGAAAAACCAGAAAGAAAAGGGTAACATGAACGCAGACCCACTGTTGCACAGATAAGATAAATGGGGTCGATGAAGGTGTTTTGATGGCGTCCTCATCAAACCCTGCTATCGCCACCTCCCCCCAGAGCACAGATGCTCCCGAAGCGATGACGATGTAAGCCCAGCGGTACTAAAGGTCCTTGAGCAGATGTCTCACCCCAATACCACAAAGTGTTCATTTCGCCCCTCCCACAAGTCCCCCACACCCAAACCTGCCACCTGTTTGCCTTTAGAACTCTCTGTTTCTCTCCAAAGGAACAAACTGCTCTCTCATTCTCTCTCTCTCTTCCCCTACCCCCCATCCTCGCCCCACAACAAGCCTTATTCTTCCTTGTTCTCTGCCTTTGCTCTAGCTGGTCCTCTACAGGGAATAAACACATTCCCTCCAAACTCCAAATGGTTGAATTCTACTTTTTATTGAAAGCTTGGTTAAAAGCATCTCTTCCATGAAACATAACTCAAACATACCACTCTACCAGCCAAAATAGTCTCTGCAACCCAAATCTTCTATCGAATCACTGAAAAGGCTTTTTCTAAACTTATTTTAGGAGCTTTCTCTTTTCTCTTAGATCTGTAAGCAACTCACGGTCCTGGTTTGAGTCTTTACACATACACACAGCATAGCTCTGTGCACAGAGCTGGTGTTCAGTGACTATGCAGAATAGGCGAGCAAAGACCCATCTTTTGAATCACACATGGAGCTTCATTCCTGCCATATAACTCAACACAGACAGATTGCTATGGAGGGTCAGGGTATTTATCCAAATAAACTTTTAAATGAAAAAAGAACTTTAACTTGAAAACTGTCAGATGAGAATTAAACACTGAAAATAAATGGGCATAATCAATGAAAGTCAAGAAAAAAATTAAAACTGTTTTTAAATTCTTCTTCAAATACATTTCTTAATTCTTTGTGTGACTTACATGTGTAGACAAAGATTCAGAGAACAAAAGATTAAATTAAATTAGGCCTTAAGAAATACAAATCTCTGCTCAGAGAATAAAGAATCAGTAATAAAAATTCAAAAAATGAAGCTGAGTTTTAAATTGAATTATCATCTTCATTTAGTCTTACTATGGCAGGCCACCCGCTGTTCCTAATCAGTCTGGATATCTCTTAACTATTATTACTTATTATCTATCTGGAAAGGAAGGAAAACGTATGTGAGCTGGGAATAAAAGAGCTTTTACCAGAACACAGGAAACTATCAAACATTGTATAAATTGCATTTGTAAGGATCCACCAGAAATGCAGATGATAGAACCAGAATGGAACTGGCACTTGGCGATACCACTCCTGAACTCCCGGTGTTAGAACACAGATGAGCACATTCCATGAGTTAGCTTCATTCAATCCTGCGCCCTCTTCGCCAGGGGGGCCACACTCAGCGACTACTGCCTTGATCTCACCACTGTGGATTCTGCAGCCTAACACCCCAGGTCCAGATGAACCCTTCACTCCATTTTTGTACAAGGAGCTATCAGGCCTCTGCCTCTGCAGTAATTAAGAGACGTCCTGATCTATATGTGTTCATTATGCATCAGTCCCTACCTAGCTTGGCACTGTACCACTGTCCCAGTAGAGCCAAATGGCACATCTGGAGGGGAGTTGGAGGATCCAGACAGGACTGCTCCTTGGTTGATTGTGAAGAGGACACACAGGATGGACTAGCAATGTTCCCAGATGTGTGTCCTGAGGAACGCTGTTCATGATGAAGTTGCCTCTTAAAAAATTAGATTTTGTGCTCAAATAAATTTGGGAAAGCCTGTACTCTGACTCTTCCTCTGGGAGTTTCATAATGCATATTAGTATATTAAAGGATTCAAGTCCTGCAGCAAAGAACTCTATAATACTTTGTTTAACTTGGCAAATTTCAAGCTTATTTGGCTATAAATCTTCTGTCCAGTGACACTCTTAAATTTGGGAAATACTTGAAACTACTTATAACAGCTATGTAGCTTCAAATCTAGCTCACAAGCCAACTCTTGGTTTCGCTTTCTAAGAATTGTTGCTCAAGAAAAAGTTAGTGTAAAAATTAAACTAGAAAGGGGAGGTTAAGATTTTTGGACAACCCAACTGCAATCTGTCAACTTTACCTTAATATCAGGAAAACATATTGTAAAAAACGAGAGGATTTGTGTCACAGTTAGTACAATGGCCCACAGCAGTATGCTGTTTATAAAAAATAAATTTCCTATCATGGATCCGCAACCCAATTATGTATATCTTTATGTGCAAAGTGAAAGAGAGAACAAAGCAATTACACAATATTTCAAGTCAACGTTTTCTTTCTACTGTAATATAATTTTGCCAATTAATTTTCAGATAATTGATGCTTGCTGGTCTTGGATGTCTGCATGGAGAAGAGTGTAGGGAGGGTGGGGAGCCACTGGAAAAAGTTATCATTATTTTCCACTTAATTGTTTACTTAAGTTTTCTTAATATATTGAGCCTTAGATACATGCAATCATTGACCATCTTTGAAACCACTAAGGAAATATCCAGAATGTCATATGATATTGTTATGGTTGGTTGTTGGCTAATTTTTAACAAAGGAGGAGGCAAGGGAATCAAGCATTGTTGAGCCTCATGGGCTGGGGAGCATGAGCCTGTTTGTTTAGCCAGGAAGCAACAACTCCACACACTCCAGAGGCTCACAATGGTGCCCTGCCAGGATTAATGCCTGTCCCTTCCCAGCTCTGGTACCAGATTGTCAGGGGGGACCAGGGGGAGGTAAGCACATGCAGAATAAAAATCAACATGGTGCAGGTAGAGGTGCTTGACCATAGAAGCCTGTTGGTCTAACCTGAGAAAGGGATCAATTGACTAGGGGGAGGACCCATCAGAAGCCCACTAAAACTTGGGAAGTGATTTTGAAGAAGCTCCTGGTCCTTCCTAAGATAATATATTATCCCAAGATAATATCATCCCAGGAAACAAAGAAGAGCTCGCTCTCAATCTCTCTCTCTCTCTCCCCCTTCCTCCCCCCTCACATGACCCACACTTACCCCATGCACTTGTGCATTCTCTCTCCACAGCCGTGTGGCCCTAGTAGCCATGCAGCTGACAGTCGCATGGATTCCAAGCACAGGCTCCAGGCGGAGGCCTGGACGTGGCAGCACAGCAACAGATTGCAGCCGGGAACACAAACTAAGCTAGCCGGACTATGAGAAGGGCTGGATTGGACTAAGCTTTAATATGGCACAGGCAATCTGGAAACTGGCCTATGTTTTGGCCTTGCTGAAGATACAGTTGGACCTTTATTCCCATGGGATGGATGGAGATTGGATACAGGGGCATCCTTCTACTTCCACCTGAATACATTTTGCCACACCACCATCTTTGTGCATGGAGTTGGTGAAATAAATGCTTTTTTTTGGATTCTGTGAAAGAGCCCCACTTCCACCGGCAACAATATAATATACTGAAAATTCCCCCTATATTTGAAAATTAATGATCCCACATTTCTGAGCACCCAATTTACTATGGGAAGATTTGAGCACTCAGTACCTGTATCGAAGTCTCCTAAAAATCAGCTTTTCCAGACATGAGATAATTTCTAAAACAAAATTCATAGATTTCCTTTCTAAATTCAAGCATCTCTAGCAATTCAATTAAAATTTGTTCACATTTAGGAAAGGGAAATCTTGATACCACAGAACTGATCTACGTTTCAAATTATAAGTGTTCAAAAACCTAAAACTGTAAGGCTTATTCCAACCCCTACAAGGACTTATTCGGAGTTACACTGGAATGCCATTGCCTATTTCATTCTTTTTAACTCAGAACCATAAATACATAAATAGGCAAAGTTCTCCCTTTTCAAAAGACAGCTGGTAAAATCGTCCCACAGTAATACAATCTGAATCAAAGAGAAAACATTCAAACACTTTGTCCTCCCGGAAATCTGGCCGCCGGGAAAAGGTGGCTCTTAATGAACTTATTTAACACTTTGATGTTAGAATGAACATTCGTTCTCTTCCTTCATTGCATTTTAGTTTAGTGGTCAAAAATGATCATGTTTTGAAGACGCTCCGACGGCGGTGCCTTACCAGTGTAGATGCTGGCATTGGAAGCCGGGATACCAAACTGTGACTCGATGAACTTGGGAATGAAGGTAATGAAAGCAGTGACAATGGCACTCTCAGCTGTGTATGACAAACTCACAAAAAGGAATGTCATGTTGCTTAAGATCCTGACAGCTGCTCTTGGTAGGTCTACAAAATGACAAAAATGACAAATGAATGTTATAAACAAGGGATGGAAAATAAAATAAAACTGAATTGTTTTTGAAATGAACTGGAAATAGCCATTCAGCAATATTTGAGATTATTGAATAAAGACTACATATAGAAAAACCTGATGACTGATTAGAAATTATCCCCTTTATTAAACAGATTTGGGGGAGGATTAAATTTCAAGTAGGATAAAGTAATTTAATAAAGTATTTTTAAAACATACCTATACACAAATATCCTTACAAGAAGTATCCAACCTATGACTTGTTTCAAAAACTATTTAAAACAACGTATTTGCATTTTTAATTTATTAAAACTATATTATTCTTTAAGATTCCAAAATCTATTAAATGTGTAAAAAGTACCTGCAGTATAATCCTACACTTTGCACTTCACGCAACTAGCAATTCCCTGAGGAAATGACTTCTGGGATGCCATCCCCCTGACACCCACAAAGGAGGAACTGGTGCAGGACTGGGCATCTGATCTTCCAGCCTCAGGAGATAAGATAGCTCAAAGGACACTTCGGATAAGGCCACCAGGTCAGACACTCCCAGGGACTTTGGAACAAAGTGAAATGATTTCCAAAGGAGCAATACAGCCCAGAGGTGGGGGCTCAGCCCCTGCCCAGTTCCTCTCAAGGAAGAGAGAAGTCTGTTCCTTGAATAGAGGCTTTTACTTCACAGAACTTGCTGTACATAGTCTTCAAGATGTATGTGCAAGTATTTTCAGGTCAGCATTGCTTATAGCAGCAAAATTTGGCCAAAAAAAAATACCTAAATGCCCATCAATGAGAAGTGTTTAAACAATGGCACAGCCACAGAATCAAATATTATGCAGTAATTAAAACTGAAATAAGCCCCGGCCAGTGTGGCTCAGTTGACTGGAGCGTCACTTTTAAACTGAAAAGTTGTGGGTTTGATTCTTAGGTTGTAGGTCCAGTTCCCTGTTGGGGTGTGTACAAGAGGCAACAGATTGATGTTTCTTTCTCTCCCTCGCTCTCCCCCTCCCTTCCCCTCTCTCTAAAATCAATAAGCCTTTCCTCGGGTGAGGGGAAAAAAATGAAATAAGCTGTTTATGTACTGGCATAAAAGAAACTCTAAGAAATACTTTTATTAATAAATAAAGCCAGATGCTGCAGAAATATATTTATGGGTGTGCAAATATATAATATATTATATGCCTTTATATAATATATGTTATATATTTATATATATTAAAGTAAAAATCAAAGAAAACAAAAACGTATTTATATACAGTCAAATGTACATCTCAATATATATAACACTAAGTAATTCTGTGAATGGTAGTAAGATTGGTAAAGAGAAATAAAAGGAAGTTTTTGTGTATATACTTTTGTGTTTTTTTTGCATGGTAATAATGTGAATTAACTCACATTCACATATCTTCACATACCTTCATGGAAAAGGTAAGCTGCATTATTTTTGACATGTATAGTCATCTCAGTTATCAGAACAGTTTTGTTATGCTATGACATAATAAAATCATTTCATAAAATTAAGTAACAACAGCTGTTAAATTGTTAAAACTATGGTTTATAGCCTATACACAGGAATTTAAAACTTAGGAAGGCAAAACTATTCACTATTATCCTTTTTAAGTGTAAATTATTTTTCATGTTCTACAACTTAATTTAATTATTTAAAGTTTAAATGAACATTTAAAAGAAAAATTAAAATGCAAACCTAATTTTTTAACATGAAAAAACACACCAGAAAAAAATATACTGAAAGTACATAAAATTACCCAATGTTCTCTTGTAAGCACTGCAAATATAAATGTCATATCCAAAATTTAAAAATTAGAAAGTTAAGATTTCATATTAACATTTAGAGATTTAGCTGTTAAATTAAGTTTAGCTGTTATATTAAAAGCTATGTTGAAACTGAAACTGGGAGAAAGATAAAATAAATTATTTTAATTGAAGAAGATAACATATGTATCACATGGATATTTTAAAAGGTACTATTTATAAAAAACTGGTTTTTATACCCATTGGTATTGTAAAATAACCTTCTAATTTCAAAGGTAACTAAAAATACATGTGATGTTTCTCTCTTCTTTCATTTACAAAAAAATTCTGCTGTTATTTAAGAAGAATTTAGCAAAAGTTCAGACTTTCAACAACTTTAAGTTCTCCTTTTTTCTTCCACCTTCTTCCTTCCCCTTTGTTGGGGCTACCTTTTACCCTCTATGCCCTGCAGGAATGTGGGGGGCCAGGCATCCAGGGCTGTGTCTTTGGCTGGAAGCTTGTTTACATACAGGGGAGGTAAGCAAGTAAGAGTAGACATTGAAAATAATGGAAGATGGTTTTTAACTGCCAGAGATGGGAGTTACAAATATTGAAAGGAACAGCTAGATATAAGACTAGAACTGGAGGTATTGGTATGAATTCACCAGATGATAGATGATAGATATATAAGATGATAATCAATCAAGGACAGATGATAGACTGTGTGTGTGTGTGTGTGTGTGTGTACACATACAGGGTGGGGCAAAAATAAGGTTACAGTTGTGAATATGCAAAACAGAGTTTATTCTTATATTATTTATTATTGTATTATTTCCCATATGAACAAGTATAAACCTACTTTTGCCCCACCCTGTATATAGAAGTCCTCTGTCTACCAGCAGGGCTTAGAAATAATGAACCTCATAGCAATGAGCCCACCCAACACCCAGTTCCTGGTTTCCCAAGAACCAGAGTTCTGTGGAAAAGTGGCAAACTTCAGAACTGGAACAGAAAATTCAAGATGAGCCTGGAAAATCTTGCTGAACAAAAAGGCAAAGAAGAACTCAAAGAATGATGGGGACATGTCAGAAAGACAGAAGACAGCATGAAGGATTCCCAGTGGCCAAATGTGGAACAATTTGAGTTCAACTGATGCTAAAAATGGCAATGGAAAGTTTAATAGGAACAAGATACAGTCAATCCTTATTATTCACAGATCTAGTATTTGCAAATTCACCTGATCACCAGAATTTACTTGTGTCTTTAAAATCAATACTAGCAGCACATGGACTTTGGAGGACACGCACACAATGGCAAAGCGTGGGAGTCGCAGGATGCACATTCTTGGCTGAGGCTGTACAAGGCCCTCTTGTTTCAGCTCTCATACTATAAACAAGTGTCCTTTTCACAACACATTGTCACATTTTTTGCATTTTTGCGCTTTTGGTGATTTTATTGTTTAAAATGTCCCGCCGCCCCCAAGCATAGTGCTGAAGTACTGTGTGGTGTTTCTAAATGCAAGAGGCTGGGGTGTGCCTCAAACAGAAAATGCAAGTGGTAGATTAGCTTCTTTCAGGCAGGCGTGATAGCATTGCTGGCCATGGGTTCAATGTTCAGGAATCAACAATATATATTAAGTTAGGTGTTGTTGCACAGAAACACATGTAAAGCAAGGTTATGTATTAATGGGTTGGCCATAAAGTTGTGACGGGAATCCAGTCCTGTGTTTCCCCTAGAGCAACACTTCAGTATTGGATATTTCAGTGTTCATGGTGACTTTATAGAACACAACTTCTGCAAATAACAAGAATCAACTGTACACAAAGTACTCATAAATTAATTATTGCTTAATAATTGCAACATACTTATTAACTTTAGAGTGGAGAAACCTGGCAGATACAAACTTATCCAAGTGATAAAATTTCACCTAAATGGTTAACAAGGCAAAGCAACACTGTGTGGTCTCGTTTACAAAGTGCTGAGCACAGCCTCATTTCGGTGGTATGTCTACAAATGTGCATAAATCAGAAGGTGGCATTGCTAAACCCAAGCTGAGCAATAAAGGTCATAAAAGACAAAAAAAATGATGATGATCTTATCCAGACTGACAGGATGAAAAAGACACCAAAACTAATACATATGACCCTGGATTGGATCTTGGACATAAAGGGCATTAATCAGTGACACCTGGATGGGGCCTGTGGTCTAGATGATGCACACAGGATCGATGTAAATTTCCTGACTTTGATGGATGCCCAAGGTCACACAGGAGAGTGTCCTTGTACTTAGGAAACATACTCATAAGTAAGAGGGGACAGTGGAGTATCATGCCTTCAGCTTCTCAGATGGGTCAAAATGTCAGCAATTGGGGAACCAGGGTGCAGGATACATAGGAGTTCTGTGTGCATCTTCTGTGGCTTTTGTGTGTCTTCAAAATTATTTCAAAAACACAAAGTTTTAAAACCTAAGTTAGCAAAGAAGTTACTAAATCTATCAATTTGTAGCCAGACACCTAATTTTTATGCTGCAGGACATAGTTTAGATAAGGTTCTTGGTGTCATTTGTAACTGCTTTATTGTAAAATCAAAGAAGCAGCAAAAAGCATGATGGAGGAGAGATGAAATCATGACAGTGATCATTTTTTTAAAACAATGAATAAGAAATCCCACAATAAAGGCAGGCTGACACTAAAACCACAAGGCTTTTAGTATATTTACAATGGTGTATAACCACTACCTCTATCTAGTTTCAAAGTGTATGTTTTTATTTTAAATAAATATAAGCATCTATGTTCAGGAATAAGGTTGGAATTCATTTTTATTTTATTCTTTATACTTTTACATACTTTCTAAATTTTCTATCATAAGCATGTATTACTTTTATTTTCTAAAAACAACCCAAAAAACTGAAATTTTGAAGGGAAACAACACCATGTCATGCTCCAAGAGAGAAGTCTTCCCTGACTCAGATATCTGACTCAGAAATTCCTGCCCCCTCTTTCTTCAAACTTCCTTAGAATGTGATGTTTCCATTTTAAGATTTATGTTCTATTAATTCTATTTCCCTTCAACCTCCCTTTAAAGACATGGACTGTAACTTTTCATATATGTATCCTGAGTTCTTCGCCCAATAGCAGTTGCTCAATAAAGATATTTATAAGGGAAAAAGAAAGAAAGAATAGAGGTTTTCTCAAGATAGGTATTGCCAGGCACATATCTCAATAATT